AGAGAATGCAATTAAACAAATGTAACGAATGAAGTGCTTTTATATAACAACATGTACTACAGATTTCGATTCAGTATGCGTCTAAAAATCAGCTCCTGTGTTCATGTTGACAGTGTGCTACTACCAAACACAAAAATAACAAATACAAATAAAAGCATGAATAACCCTGCCTGTCAGTGACATGGTTATTTGTGTAATATATGGAAGAAATATCAAACGATGTGATGTGGCAGATATCAGCTACTGCTACTACACAGGACTCCACAGGACGCAGCTAGCCTGATGGCTAACGTACGTGTGCCAATGACAAATCCTTGCAAACTGATAACTGACAAAAACTGTACAGGTCAGGATGTGAAGTCACAGTTAGAGATTCATTGTTGTACATAATATGGATAATTACGATAAACCCACTTTGTGTTTTGGCACTGATCATTGGTGTGACGTGAACAGTTATCATGCTAAACATTAACCCAACATAAACTAACGTTAGCTAAATAACATCGATAGTCGTTACCCAATATGGGTAGGCTAAACTGTCTAATGTTACCCAAACCAACATTTTAAAGTGTTTGTGAGATCATATCTACAATACAAATATTCATCAAGAAATCTTTAAAAAGAGGAAAACATTGTAGCTTAGCCGACTAAAACGACTGACAACAAGGCAGGAAATAAAAGGAGCAAAGCTAAACATCAACAGCAAAGCAAACGTCAGTTATGCCCAAACGCTAACGTGCTAACGTCAGCTAGCGAGCAGGTTAGCCCAGCAGCTAGCAGCATTTTAGCGAGCGACATTAAGACTCAAACGAGTAAAAGTAACGGCAAATGTAACATTATAATACCAAGACCCATTGTTACGCAAAAAGCACGTTACAAATGGGTCGCTGATTTGCCTGACAAATTAACTCACATCCAGCGGTGAGCTTTTATCCAAGCAAAGCTAGCTGTGTGTAGGCCCGAGCATAGCGGCTGTCGGACCGACCCGTCCGCCGTGAGTCTGACCGAGAGGGAAAGGTCTGCTGCGGCCAGCTGAGCGGGCAGAAGACACCCAAAGAGAACAGCCGGTAGAGGCAGGGGGTATTCCATGAGAGCAGCCATTTAAGAAACACAAGGTAAAAACTAACTGTAACATCGTATATACAACCCGTTCCCGTGTTGAATATTAGCTGAGGAAAAAAAGAAAACACTCTGAAAAACAGCGGCCATTCCGAAGCTGAACAAAAGAGTGCGTTCGTACTCACCAGCTCAAAATGACACTTAAACCATAAACACGCCGCAGCGAGAGACTGGAGGGTGTGCTATCCCTGGCGTGATGCGAAACCGTGCTGTGGGGCTAAAACGACCACTGTTAATGTGATAATATAACTGTTTTACCTTCAGAGGTGTGACTCCGCCATCCTTGCTGCTTCCTCCTCTTTTCCTACACTGCTGCTCGGCTCCCCTCCCTCCCTTGCCACCAAACTGCGTCATTCGCACGCCTAACCAATGTTATCACGAGACTTTGAAATACAATCAAATATTCCTAGATAAACATTGACTTCATTTACATAAATATGCTACACAAGTAAAATACTTGTTTTTGTGTGTTTTGTAATAAATAATAAAATTACACTTGTATTCCATTACAACAAGTAAAAAACCCACAATACAAATGGCGTTTAAACATCCCCTACAGGGGGATGATTACTGGAAAGTAATTACATTTACTTGAGTATTTTTATATTCTGCTACTTAATACTTTTATTCCACTATTTCTCAGATGAAAATGTTTTAGTTGTATTCCACTAGAAAATAGCCATTCAATTAATGATGACACTATTATATCAAAGAGGCTGCTAATCAGCAGTTTGTAAAGTAATATCATAATCAGAATCGTTTTTATTACCCACTAAGTTTAAATACATGAAATAACGAAACAAGTATAATGTTCTCCACGTTGATCAGATAGAATATCAAAGATATCAACCTTCAATTATTGTCATCCAATATTGCTTTCCTGTATACAATGTATAATATATCTAAGAGCGTGTTGATGCCTTTACTCTTTTTCTTTTTCCTAAGTGAAGTTTAAATGCAGAACCTTTAGAACAATGCTCTGAACAACTTTGTGTTTGCTATGATTTTCCCAAAGAATCGAAAAATCCAAGTTTATACGAATATCATACAAATAATTCTAATTTGAAAGTAGAACCGCTGGATCCAGAATTTCTCATATTTCAAACACAAATATTAAATTTAAGCTGCATGGTTACTGGGAGTTTCACTATTCCTTATCATTTGGGTAAATTAATACATCTCGGTTGGCTTCAAAACTAGATGTACTTGTATGTACACACCTTAAACTAATATTTAAGATAATCAGAGAAACTTTCCTCTTTCAGCAGAGGAGTATGAAACCCACATTGTAGAGTTACAATGTTCACATATGCACAATAAAACGGAAACATCCAAGTAAAATAACAACTAGCACATGTATTAAATACTTTTCAGCCACTGTGAACTAAAGACATAAAGGAGTAGACAGTAGGCCTACAAGTTGTCATCTATAAGACAGTGGAATATAATAATACATGGAAATAAAGTTGTTAATCTCTAACTACATTCACGTCATGGAAGATATTACTACAACAATTATGCAAAACGTTTACATTGGGACATATCGTCCGCTGTTCTGCCTGCAGGTGTCAGTGCAGCGCTGTGCCTGATAAATAAGAGGAGAAGAACGTCACGTGATTCTCACGCAAGCGTTGGCTTGACAACCACCGTAATCTCTTCCTGTTGCTAAAAGGTGGGCTTTTTTTTCTTCCAATTTTTTATGATTTAAATGTGTTCACAAACGACACAGTAAATATAAATAGGCCTAGGTGTATTGTCAGCTTTAATAATTGTATTTGACTGGTAGTTTGATAAAAGAAAGATACCGCTACTATAGCTGGGCATATGTTGTGATAGTACGTACTAAAGCTAGCTAGTGTTTTGAGCTAACGTCGGCTGTTATCCTATACTTTACGGTGTCGGTAAGTGTCGGATTTTAACTCGTCGAACGAAATTACGTAACATCGGAACCAAGGTGGAAATTGGGGTCGAATACAAATATAAATTATAGATAAAATAGATAAAATATTGAAACAGCTACGTATCAGAATCAAAATACCTTTATTCGTCCGACAGAGGGAACATTTACTTTGTTACAGCAAAAGTGAAGAGGCAAAATATTAAATAAGAGTCATGCATACAATCTTAAAGATAGCAATTACACAAATTACAATTCACCAAGGTACCCATTTAAAATAAATAGATACATTAGTGTAACATGTACATGTGATGTGATAGCAGCCAGATAATAGCATTGAAAGTAAAAGTATTTGCACGGTTATTACAGATTTAGTTACATTTCTTACATGTTAAATGATTATTATTTCCTCCAGGATGGTTAAGTGTTTTCTTTGTCTGAGTTTTACTTTGTTGTATTGCCTTACTGATGTTACTCTGTTTACATATACTGATATTAAACTAGGTAACTGTTGTAACTTATCCCTGCGAAATACATTTAAAATGTTATCTCACTATCCTCCGTGTTCTGCATTAAAAATCCACTAAAGAATACCCAGCAACATTAACAGGTATCCTGATGAACCCAGTGTCACGTTTTTAAATGTTTGTCTGCTCTTTTTTAACCAGAGCTGCTTGCATTAGCAGACACTAAGTTCAGTGCCAGTAAAACCTTGGTTTCATTAATGTATGTAAGATAAATCTGGTTACATTTAATAAACTTAAATATTTACCTTTCAGCAAGCCACAAGAAGACACAATGCCAGAAGTCAAGTCAATATTCAGAGAAGTTCTGCCTAAACAAGGTGGGTACCACAGCAGCTAGCTATTTGGACAGCAGCACTTACAAACAAAAGGCTGTCTGCGAAACTCAATACATGTGAACTGTTTAGAAATGTGCAAAAGCTTGCAAAATTAGTCAGTGATGCTCTGTGCCCGCTCTTTACAGTCTCTCTTACAGCTCAAAACCATTGACATTGTTGCTCTACAAAAAAGTATATAAATGAATTGTAGTTCATGGCGTTAAAAGTGCCATAATTTCTCACAAGTAATTTATGGGCAGACCGACAGATGTTACATTTCCAGATGTTTTAATGAGTGATGCAAAACTGACCATCAGTGTAAACATTTTATAAAAACATCAGCAAACAATTATGTAATGATTCACAACTGCAAATATCATGTGGTCCTTAAAATACTAAGGGTTGGAGGCTCCTTGAGTGACACAATTTAACTGCAGACCTGTTTGCCAGTGATGCTTTCACATTTGTCATTTATTTTAAAGTTTTTAGGTAGAACTTTTTCACTGCTTCTGTATGACGGACTACCATCCAGCCAAGTCTTAATATGTTTGCATTCAAGCCAAGATTAGTTGATGATAATTGATGTTGTGTTCTATTTTGGCAAACTCCACAGGGCAACTTTCCATGGAAGATGTGCCTACCATGGTTTTGTGTAAGCCAAAGCTGCTCCCACTCAAATCAGTCACACTGGAGAAACTGGAGAAGATGCAGATGGAGGCTCAAAAGGCTGTCAAGCTGCAGGAACTGGCAATGAAGGAGCAGAATCATTAGATGATTGATTGGAGGACTCATAACAACATGAATGGTCAAACTGGCATGAAGTCCCTTCTGATGGATGGCACAAACCCAGATTTTTACGCACGGCAAGAAAATGTTTTTGTTAGAACAGTCAAAATGTCAAGAAATGTGTGATGTTTGGCTTCACAGGGTAGATAAGCTTAGAAGGGAGTAGCAACCTGAGCTTAAAAAGTCCTTTGCTCTTTGAAGGTCTAAATGTTTTATTGTTGATTGATCTTCTGCATGTCACCGTTAAGGATTACATCTATCGCACTTATTGTAAGTCGCTTTGGATAAATGCAATGTAATGTTATCGCTTGCCAGTGTGGTTGGCTATTAAGACCTGTGCGCTTCATGAGATTTTCCATGTGTATTACTGCATCTGTGATTTGACATTAACAAGAACATCTTCCTTATCGAGTGAATGAAGAGCAGTTTATTGGTCAGATCATAGAATAAAGCTGTAATACTTTATATTGTGTCAATTACAAATGCAGCCTTAGGTTGTTGAATAGTGATTTAATGAACAAACAAGGAGCAATATGTGGTACATTTCACTCCCCAGTATAGGTATAAAAATAAACACTCAAACACAATTTTGTGAAGTTATTTCACTGTTATTTGTTTTTGAAATGTACTCGTGTCTTGATACCTTCAATTAAAAACATCTTTGTGTGATTGAAAGGGTAGAAAGAAATAGCCAACACAGCATAGAAACAGCAGCTAAATAGGGAGACAGTATTGCATTTGACCCTTTCTTTATTTTTTAATAACCTTTTATAAAGCTTTTGACACAAACCAGTCATCTTTGTACAAACACTGCTTTCTACAAAACACAAAAGGAGTGGCAGTGAACTTATAAGAAAATACTGTACAAAACAACATGGAATGACTGACACTGCAAGGTGTGGCACTTTAAGGGTTAGCTTATGTAAATGTTTGTATTGAAACACCTTGAAGACAGTGCTCTACTTCAGGGTCAATCAAAAGTGCAGTCGTTTTTTTAAACACCCCACCTCAATTTCAGAAATGTACATTATTTTGACTGTTAGAAGGGAACAATTCACACCCAACTATTTTGGAAAATATGCAAGTAAAAAAGGTAGCTCTATCCTCCGCTTTTCAGGACATACGGCACATGGAAATGGCTCCTCAGTAACTTTCGTGTTTCACAACACCACCATCTCCCTCGCTGACAAATCTCTTCCGGCCTCTGACAAAATACAAAAATAATCAACATTCAGTTATAATTTCTCTATTTTAAACAGGAGCAAAGTGTTAAGTGTGTGTCTGAGAAAAAACAATAGGCTGCACTTACCGACAGGGACAAAGATCTCTTAACTTTACATCAATGATTCCCATAACGAAGCTCTTATCAACAAATTGCTCCAGGATGTAGTATGCGCGAGGGACATCAATGTTGATTTCAGCAATGTCCATATAAACTCTTTCAAAGCCCTAAGAAAAAAATACACTATTTAAAACAGCATCTTCCAAGGATAGCAAACAATGAGCTGCTACATGGTGCAGTGCATCACTCAGACACCAGGTGGCGCCTTACCCTTCTCATTTGGTCCACAGTGATGACAGAGGAAGCAGAGAGAGACTTGAGAAGCTGCAGAACCATTCTTAATGTTTTCTCTCCTTTGGACTCCAACACCAACACTATCGCCTGAGAAAAATAAAAGTATCCACAGCCATGCATTAGTAATAAAAACATTGGCTAATATCCTATATGCTCGTGATAGGTGATGCTTTAAGGACAGACTGAATGTGGGCTGTTCCGTCTAAAACTAAAGCAAAGTGTTTACCTCATAGACAAACTCATGGTGGAAATGTGGGACCTCCAGATCCCTCAGGCACCTCTCAGCCTCCTTACTGTCCCCAGACAGGATGTACTCCTTCAGCAGCAGGTTCACCTGACAGGACAGAGGAGACGACATTATTTATAACTGAAATTATGTTTTAAACAAAAAAGCAATCAGTCGTTATTGTAAGGAATTCTTGGACTTTATTTTGTGATAAGGCTCTGTTGGAACAATAGATGTTCATGAAGCGGATATCACACCTACTTTTCTTAGAAATACCCATCTCAACAGAAAGTAATACTGACATCTACATCAAGAGTGTTTCAAATGTATTATTGTGTCTTCTTGAGCATTTGAAAAAAAGACCATGTTCTTTTTTAGTAACGGGGATTCACATTGACATGTTAGGGCGGAAATATTTGCGAAAAATTGTTAAATTAAGAGTTCTTTGGAATAAATGAAGAGTGAGCATTTTCAACCGTGTGCTACTTTTCACCTGGCCATCAATACGTCTTTCTTATATGTTGCCCTCGTCACTGTGGTGAAGTTACCAAACCATTTAAAGCTTTATAACAGAAAATGTTTACTTTCACATACATTTATTGGTCATACAGAAAATGTCCATCATCTGTGTGGTTGCTTTTGTAATGTACCTCTTTGATAAGCTGTATGACAGGCCTCTGGCCCCCGCCGGCCCCCCACTGGTTGTCTATGCGTAGGCCCCCCCTACTCATCTTCAGCAGCACTGCTGCCCGGTCGAGTGATGCTCTGCAAGACAAAAAAAGTTGTTTGGGCCGAGTTGTCACACTGCCTTTCATTCTTTACTGTCCCACTTCTCCAATCTGCTCATGATCACACTGTTCTCTACTTGTATACAAAAACGCAAACAGAGAAGCTTTACCAGATCACATTGTTGTTTTACTGAAAAACACGTTGGGTACGACTTGATTCCTTTATGTGATCTAGAACTGTTTGAAACCCTGACATAATGTTGCAGGATTTCCATGATAAAAGAGAAAATGTACTCATGGCAGTAACAATCACATACCTTGTGTATTGACAGTCAACTCTGCCTTTGAAGCCCTCGATGTAACTCTTGGATAATATGTTGTCGCTCACAGCACGTGCAATGAATTGGCCCACCAACTGGAGAATTAACACAAAAGGGAAGTGTGTTAACAAAACAAAACAAATTTCAAGGCAACATGTTAAAAAAGGCTATTTATAGAGAACTGTTATTCTGTTAAAGCATTTCCCCTTTAATGTGAGTAAGGCAAAAGGTGACAGATAAAGACTGTAGATTAAAGTAAAGCACTTCGTGTTCACATATCACTGACCCTTGTACAGGAAGTTTTCAAGAACAAAGTGAGGAGCGAACATTTTGTTCAGAAAGACACTTCTGTTTGAATGGCTCACTATTTTAGTCTGCAAGTCATATTTAAAAATCATTGATTATTTAAATGTTTTATTTACTTACTTAAGTATGTCGTTCTACCACAGTAAATATAAAACAGCTTTGTTGCATGGGAAAGCAGGACATTTTATTCACAATGACTTCTTTAATAAAAGGGAAAAAATGTTGTTACTCATTGTTTGACCAAAATCCCTAAATACTTTCATTTTGAAGAACTAGAGGTCCAACAAAAACATGCCATGCTCGATGACTGGCAGTCACGCGTACATGTTTGTTTACAGTAGTGCGAGCGCATGATTCAGGGAAACGAAAGAGCTGTCTTTGCTCTTCTGGCCACCACTAAGCCTACGCTCATCACTGATCATTGTTCCCCTTCAAACAAGAGGCAGCTCAGTCTCCTTTGACCCGTGGCTGTGGCTAGACTGGCAGGCACATGAGGAGAAAGAGAGGAGTGTGAAGTGTGTGTGTGTGTGTGTGTGAAACCGAGAAAGAGAGAGTGAAAGGGGTGAAGGGAAGGCGGTTGGGGGCAGGGCAGAGACATAATGCCCCCTTAAACCCACAGAGGAGGGACAGAAATGACAAGTGAGCCCCAATGAGACGGTGACAGGAGGGGTTGGACGACCAATAACCCTTTGCCGTCCTATGCTGAGCTTGCATTTTGCGAGCGCAGACAGACAATGGACAGAGATCTCATGTCTATGCAACACACACACACACACACACACACACACACACACACACACACACACACTGTGTGTGTGTGTGTGTGTGTGTGTGTGTGTGTGTGTGTGTGTGTGTTGCATAGACATGAGATCTCTGTCCATTGTCTGTCTGCGCTCGCAAAATGCAANAGGCTAAAAAGTCAAACAAACCTTTTTTCACAAGATGTTTCAGTTACTATTAATACAAATATCCAAATGTCTTCATGTGTTGTTAGTAGGGCCGGGACTTTAACGCGTTAATTAAGATTAATTAATTACACAAAAATTAACGCGTTAAAAAAATTAACGNGGAGGGGTTGGACGACCAATAACCCTTTGCCGTCCTATGCTGAGCTTGCATTTTGCGAGCGCAGACAGACAATGGACAGAGATCTCATGTCTATGCAACACACACACACACACACACACACACACACACACACACACACACACACACACACACACACACACACACACACACACACACACACACACACACACTTTCAGCCAACAGGTCTGACGGGTCTTGTGTGTTTACTGCAGAGTGACTGACATACAAGCCTCTTTTTCACATCAACCTGACCTGGTTCGTAAACAGCAATTAGGAATAACTTAAAAATCCAGACTATCACTAAAAGAGCTGTGAAAGGATTTGGATTTCATGCTCTGGATGACACATTTGTAAATGATAACAACAAAAAACCCATAGAGCTACAGTAGTTCCACTTCTTTTCCTAATTGCTGTTTACGAACCAGGTCAGGTTGATGTGAAAAAGAGGCTTGTATGTCAGTCACTCTGCAGTAAACACACAAGACCCGTCAGACCTGTTGNGAATGTGCAGGCCACCGCCGCCAGATACACCTCGATTGGGAAGTTGAGACACTGAAATAGTTCAGAAGGTGTGGTGAAACCAACTTACCGGATCAGCACAGTAATTGCAGGACTCCATCTTTTAAACAAATATTTATGTCTGGATTCTCAGAGAATCTGAACATTTGTTCCATCTGATAGATTTTCCACACCTTTTCAGTCCAACAATTGTATTGTCTGGTTTAAGCCACTTAGCAAAAGCAATATTTGCAAAAGATATTTCCTAGCTGTTACCTCGAAGCCCTATGTTATGACTCCTAGTAGTGCCACCTTAGTGTGACATGTTGGAGGAACACTTCATTAAGGGCCTCACATTCTTTATCCCAAAACATTCTTAGTTAAGGGGACGTCCAAAACCCATGGGTATGGTTGCCTACTTGTGACAAAAGTAACCTTTTAAATAAAAGTCGGAGTACTCAGTTATCAGGTTTCTCTCAGATAAAATCACATGTTATTGATAGACTATATGTGATCAGCGCTTCATGTATGTTTTGAATACTGACACACTGATTATGTTCCAACATGCATAGTAAAGTGACTTCTCCTCCCCTTTATACATTCTACACTTTACAGCCATTGGACCCAGTGTGAAGTTTATGTTGGTGTTGGGTTTTCCCTGAACAAGTTCCCTGTAAAAACAGAGACTCTGGTCGCTGGTCCGAGTTAGGACCCCAGTCTGACACACACATGGAACTGTCAGTCAGGTCTGTGAGCTGGAGAAGCAGGAAGCGGAGGAGGAGGAGGGGCACTGGAAAACATGCAGTTGCAGCTCAATGGTTGCAGAAATCAGACTCCTAGACATGACAGGCTGAATTTACAACCTCTTATAGCTATGATGTTAGAGGAACACAAAGTGTCAAGCGGTATGTGCGCCGGTTAGTTAGATGATAAATAAACAGTAGGTGGTACTTGTCTTTTCATTTTTAAAGTTAGTAATTTTGTAGGTAAATGATCTAGCAAAACTAATAGGAGCGGTGAAACAACCACTATTAGCATGCTTACAATGCATGATGGACCTCAGTCTTCCTCTCCACAACATCCACAGTCCCTGCCATGTAGTTCTCTACATTATCTATTACCTTAATAAGATCTTCGTACACAAGGAAAGCAAGACTATAAAATCTTAACATTGTCTTCCTTATAGAATATAAAAATATATAGTTTAAGAGTAAATAATAAGGCACAAATAGTGATATAACATATCTATATCCAAATGGGTCTGTATCAGTTTTACCATCTAATTTAGTCACTCTCCTTTAAGTTAAAAAGCTATGCAGGTCGCTATAGTTGGCAGCCATGAGGGATTTGTATCAAATGTGTGAAATGTCTGGGGCCTGTCAGCTGACAAGTCTCTAAATCCAAACAAGTATACTTCCATTATCGCCACTGCACTACTGCCAAGGAACTATTAATAGATGAAATGAGATGGGTTGCATCAAGGAGGGAAAATGACATGACATACTGTGTGATAGTGTTACATTGATGTTAGACAGATTTATTTCTTACAGTCTGATCCTTCTGATGTAATACAAAGATTGTTGAGAGATCACATATACAATTTTATATGTATACTTTTTTGACTGTAAAGTGTTATCCATATTAAGAAGTGGATTTGGTCACTGTGACATCACCCATTGGGTTTTGGGCTCCTGTTTTGAAGCCTCTAGTTTGAGATGTTGGATGTAGTCATATTGGTTTTTTTTTCAGAGCAAGAAAATCACCATATTTGGTTGAGAGGGTGGAGCTAGGGAATGACAAGGCCCGGCAGGGGCTGTTAGTGGCTCATTAGTTCCAAACCTTTTTTTAATACTACACAGTTTTTGTGTCAGCTTTTAATGGCCAATGAGCAGTCGCGACAGGTTGGTTTTCAGTCTGTGACGCAAGATATGTAGACTATCAGCCGTCATAATATGAAGGAGCAGCTTGTTTGGACATATTGAAGCCAGGATAGAAAACAACCGTGTTTTTCTGGAGGGGTACTAGCGTCCTACTTGCAGTGGGGTAGAACTGCCCGATGCGAGAGCAGTGACTGGCTGGTATGAATGAGAGAACTTAGGTAGATTAGAGACCTGTCTGGCTACTGTATGCTGGAGGATCTGCAGGGATTGAATGGCACTTGCATGTAGGCCAGCCAGGAGTGAGTTGCAGTAATCAAGGCGTGAGATGAAAAGAGCCTGGACCAGGACCTGCGTTGCCTTCTGGGTCAGTAGGTAAAGTATATTTCTGATGTTGTAGAGAGTGTATCCGCAGGAGTGGGTTGTAGCAATGATGTTTGCAGTAAAGGACAGTTGGTCATCCAGTGTCACACCCAGATTCCTTGCAGTGTGAGCCGGGGAAACAACAGAAACGCTGATGGTGATAGTCTTCTAGTCAGATTCAGCTCCAAATGGTTTGCAGACATGCACTGAGAGACGTGAGCCAGACACTGCGTTTTAACACTGGGAATTTCATGCTTTTGGAGCAAGCCATACGTGGCCATTAGATGAACTGCAGTTGAACAACAGTTATTTTCAGATGTTCAATACATTTTTTTTAAGAGATCAGTGTGATGTATGGTTATAAATGTCCCATTAATTGCAGCCATTTCCACCCATACAGGCAACAATAGGGCGGGTCGTTCACATCTGCAACCTCCCTGAAGGCAGCTGCACTGAGAATGATGTCATCCACCTGGGAATACCCTTTGGCAAAGTCACCAACTACATCCTCATGCGCTCCACCCATCAGGTACAAGAACATTATTATTCACCGTTAATTTCTTATTCATATAAACCAATGCATATTTATAGGTTTTACCTCTCAGGGCTTCAACAGAGTTCTTTCCTGTCGAGTAAGAAAAACATAGTTGAACAAATATTTAAATTTCAAATTATTTTTGTCAATAACCAAAGTATCAATGTGCAATTATCAACAGTTATTCTGCAGCTGTTGTGTGATATCATATATTTTGTCATATCTTACTGGCAGTTTAACTACCAGAACATGACAGCTCACTCTCTTGCTGCCGCGTCATTAATATTACCCCTATCATATTTAAACAAAAATCGTGGTATTGGTTACAGGCACTTAAGTAACTGTTCTGGTGATTTATTATAGCGTGGAAATGTGTTAACTTGTGATGATGATTTTCAAACATTAGCTTGAATCCAGTCTCAAATCCTAGATATTAAACAGGTTTGTACAGGGTACAACTATATAATGGAATATTGTTTGAGCAATTTTCTGTTCTCCCTTCAGGCATTTCTTGAGATGGCATATGTTGAAGCCGCTCAGGCCATGGTTCAATACTATCAACTTACTCCAGCTACGATTAACAATCAAAAACTTCTCATACGAATGTCTAAGAGATACAAGGAGCTGCAACTCAAGGTAAGACTAAATTAACAAAGTAAACAGCTAACATAAGTTATAGGCTGCCAAATAAGAAATTGTGAAAATGTGAATTTCCTTTCTGTTTAGAAACCAGGTAAAGATGTTCAAACAATCATCCACGACATCACCTCTCAGCAGGAAAGGGATGAGATGCAAGAACACGAACAGTAAGGCCACTTCTCTTTCGACTCTTAATCTTGAATACTTTTTACTGAGTCACTAAAAGAGCAAATACAAAATCATTGAGTAGAAAATGTCACTGATAATAACTTAAAGGGGACCTATCATGCAAAATCCACTTTGTGATGTCTTTTATTCATAAATATGTGTCCCCGGTGCGTCGGGGAACTCACGCAGCGTCAGAAAATAAAACCCTCTCTTTTCCTCCGTACCCAAATCTTTTAAAAACGGGTGTACAACGAGCGGATACAGATTCCATCCGAGCTGACGTCATCCCGGAATAATTGGTGGCGGACCCACAGAAAGTCAGAAAGTTGCCATCAGAAACAATGCCTGACGTGTTTTGGACGTAATCTCGACTTTTTTTACATTAGCAAGCCTCGCTAACACTCAGAGCTAACCTGTACTGTTTAAAAAGCAGGACATAAAAAAAGAACTCACCTTGTGATAAACCTGCAAGAGAAAAAGCATTTGAGCTCCATACTATTTCAGAAATAATCCTTGACGTGGTTTAAACAGGATGGCGTTTTATCACAACCGAATTTAACTTTATCTCCGGTAGAATTCTGATCAGGCATTAGCTCCGCCTCCTCTTCTTTCTTTTTTTCAAGCTAAAGACCCAAAATCTGCCTTTCTCTAACATGGCTTCAAAAGAGGGCTTTGAACAGTATGAGGCATGACAATGGGTGATCTGTTTGTTATTTTGAAAAAAAAAAACTTCACAGACATGTTTTGTATAGGTATGGCCCTACAATATATTTGTCAAATATAGCATGATAGGTCCACTTTAAGTTGAGTTAGTGTGATATATATATACTGTACATATGTATAGCAACACAAAATCCAGATTTATGGGATTTCTCCATGTAATCTTTCCATCATCTCCTTGCAGCTACATCCCAGAGAGAGCGCGCTCCCGCAGCCCAATCAGCCGATCCCTCAGCCCTCATTCCCACAGTCCAAGTTTTACATCATGCAGCTCAGCCCACAGCCCCCAGGGCGCATCCTGCAGGGGTCCGGAAAGAGGCAGTAATGGCCTGGGCCCCCGCCAGGGTTCCTGGGATCGGTCGTCACACTTGAGAAGGGGTGAGGACGACAGGGAAAGGGAAGACCCATGGAGAAATGAGGGAAGCGTGGATGATGATCGGTCTAGTGGACGAGCAGCCGACCGCCGGAAGGTTTACCAGAAACCCTTGGATCATATCAGCTCGAGATCTGCAGATGAGCGAGGAGGCGGCGGAGGTGAAGGGATCAGGGGCAACAGAGACTGGCAACCGCGAGGCAGCCCTCAAGGCATGTCTTTCAACTCGTACAGGAACATGGAGGATGACATCTACATGAAGGAACAAATGTACAAGTCAGACAAGCCGCCTAGACCTCCATACCAGAGGCACGACACAAAGCCCAAGAGGAGAGATGGAAGCGACTACCATAATAGATCGAGGCATTCTGTGTTTGAGATAACTGAGGAGCCACTTCGCAGAACACTAGAGGACAAGAGGCCGGGTTCACCAGACAGGGGCAGGGGCAAAAAGACAAGCAGGAGGCACACCACTACAGACAAACACGATAAAGAAAATGCTACTGAAAATACTGTGAGTAACTTTGGAATCATATCTATATGTAAGAGTGTTGTGTGTAAAACTGCTTCACATTGGACATCCTTCTACCTTCTTAATCATTTATTTTCCCAGGAATGCCAGTCAAAAGAAAAATCGTTTTCACCTCAGCAAAGCGACATGCCAAAAGAGACGATAGAATGTAGTAAAGAAAGAAATACTGTAAGTGATGATTTGATTTATTACACATTCAAACTCCTTCATGCCGCAATTTGAAGGTTAATGCTACTTCAGTTGGAATAGAAGTATTATCAACTCTTTTCTTGGTCCAATCTCTAAGGTGAAGGAGTGGGAAAGTGGAGATGATACTGATGGAGACTGCTGGTACCCTAAGAACATGGAGGAACTGGTCACTGTAGATGAAGTTGGAGGAGAAGATGATTCCATAGTTGAGCCCGACCTTCCCGAGCTAGAAGAGTTTGTATCCCGCCCCCAAGAGCCTACAGGTGAAGAAGCAGCAGAGGAGTGCATACCACCCCCTACCCCCTCCTCCTTGGAGGTGCAGGAAACATCTAGCAGGGATATTGGACATCCAGAAGAAACATCTGTGAACAAAAAGCAAGGGGATGTTATAAGTGCAAGCAGTCCTGAAGAGCAGATGTTCAGTGCAGCGACTCCTGAGCTACCAGTCACTGACCTCAGTGACTTCCCCAGTGAGGAGTTCAAAGCTGCCCTGGAGGAGACATGTTTAGAGGACAAAGTGACCCGCAGTGGGCCTTCAGAGGAGCTGATGGAAAATCATATTTACGTATCAGAAGATGGCAAAAACGTGGAAGTAGGAAAGGTCCCAGAAAAAATCAATAATGGGGTTCATCACAAGGACGGCATTCTAAAAAAAGGTATTTTTCAGATAAGGGAAGCCAAATGTTTACAGCAGAACAAAGTGAGATCCAGTGATCAGATTTGGGATGGTTTACGTTTTTAGAGTCTAAATAGGAGAGAGTTAGTCAAATAATGAATCAATCATTTAAGTATTTATGTTTCGGTTGTCTCTAGTTCACACACAAGGCTGCAGTTTTTATCACAACTATAGATTATACTCCAAACAGGAGTTATTGTTGCAACCAGTCTTTTTTATTTCCAAAGGAAATAGTTTCAAATATTTACACATCATAAAACGATACAATGTCAATAAGACGTATGATGAGATAAAAATATAGCACTGTGATGAAAAAAAGGAGTGTATGTAAAAGTGAATGACAAGTTTATCGAACGTAAGATATGAGGTATGAGAAATTAGATTGTTTTTAAAGAAAAAGAAAGAAAAATTGATTTGTGTGTCCGAAACTGCATTCTGGTAACCTAGGTGTTAAAAAGGGTGGCGTATACTGTGATCTCTCTGATCACGCCCCCAAAAAGCACAATTTGTGATGTTTTGTGCGTCCTGCCATTTTCATAATTAATATGCCTTTTACAGAGATTGAGGCTCCCTCGCCGTCTCGTGAGCAAGACAAAGCTGTCAGTGAACACAGCATCCCTTTGGGTAGGCACAAGTTTTATAACTCCTCTGATTTGAACTTGAATGTTTAAAAATACACTGCAAATGAGAACTGTATGCACTTTATTTGAAATCCTTGGTGACTTTATTTAATCTGTCAGAAATGTCAAGTTTAAGGTCTCCGATTACTCTGGCTGGATTACGCCCAGGTCTGTATTGACTTATTTTCACAGAGACAAGTAGCCTACGTTGAGTCTTTTGGTTTAAGTCCTAAAGATAAACTCTTATCATGTAGCCAACTAATAAGTGCACTGACAACCTGTTGCATTAGCACTCTAATTGATTGGAATTGCTTGGACACTTGCTGACCTATTTCCGTGAGCAGTTTGTGCAATGCACCCCTGAGAGATGAGTATTTATATTATCATTACGGCTAGAATGACACGGCCACCGTTGGGCCTGCTGCATGGAGACTTACGTAAGCCGTGGAGCCGGGTATCAGCAGCAGACCGCAGTACAGACTCACGAGCGGCTGTCTCTGTTTGTGTGTGCAGAGCAAACTGTATCCATCGACAGCACGTCTGAGACAAATTTAACAAAGATGACTCATCCGGTTGTTGTTGTTGTTGTTGTTGCAATTTTGTTTTTGTTTACTTACTGTCACGGTCAGATGTGTGTTGTTCAAATAGACTTTGGTGCTCAGACAGAGTGAAAATAACATGCTATAAAATGATGTTGTAGAACTTATAGTTTTTATGTATTATCTGTGAACGTAAATATGAAGTATTAAGTAAGAGATTAATATCCTTTCCTTTTTACTATAATTGGTCTTTGTTCATTGTTCAAAGTTTCCGTGATCGTTAAAAAGTTTTACATTCAATTGTCAATGTGCATTTTCTCTCAAGTACAATTGTATTAGTTCATAGTTCTGTTAAACAAAAAATAAAGAAGTTGGTCATCAAAAAAAAAGAATTCCAGCAGGTAAATGAAGTTTATTCATTGAATTTACTCAAACACATCCCTGAAGCGTGTTTTTATGCTATGCAAGCAGTCCTTAATATTTGACATTAAACTAGATTTAGACTTAGATTGCGGTTATATTTTACTCTTGTACTATTTAACGTGTTCTAGTACTTAAATAATTCCGGGATTCATTTTCTTTCAAAGTCTTCTAATTTTCCAATATACTTCTGAAAATACAAATGGGTATGACATTTAAATCGCTACGATCTTAAAAATCTTTAAAAGTTCTTAAATTGTACTTTTCCTGTAGAATCCCTTTATGATGCGATTGCAAAGTACTATTTAACTATATCATTTAAATGTCAAAACGCTGATGCAGTCAGACGAAGCTTATAGTTGTGTTTGTTGTCTAACAGGAGTGGAGTTCATTGTGCCGAGGATGGGTTTCTACTGTGAGCTCTGCGAACTGTTCTATAACAGTGAGGAGACGGCCAAGAGTACACACTGCCGCAGCACCGTGCACTACAGGAACCTCCAGGTACACACTGCACTCTGGTGATGAATTAAATGTCCATGAATTATACGAGCAAGCATATTGTGTTTATGTAGATATGTTGTATATTTTCTGTGCATATACTGTCAAACCTTTTATACCAGCTGGAGTTAGTGTCTGCTAAAATGAAAGTCTGTATGCCCACACTGTACACTGCTGGTGTGGTCCAAAGTCAGTGTGGTCTAGTAGCAAAATTCAATAGATTACAAAAGACTACACCACCTGTTGTTGAGTTGGTGAGTTATTACTTCACACGCATGCAGCATATGCACATGTTACATTATTTGTTTTCCTTTTCGTTCCAATGATCGTCACATTTTGGGGATAAATCTTACTTAAATCAAGTATAGTGTTTTAAAAACCGCAGTGCAAAAAACAATGAATATACAAAGAAACTAATAATGTTAGTTTTGATAATTGATTAACTCTTTAAATCAAGAAAAAAAATATACGAGCCTAACACTTAATTGCAAAGAAAATGAACGGATTAATCCAAAAGAAAGGCCTTGAATGCATTAGGATGGGCACAGAAAATAGAACATACACACGAAAGAACATACACATTGCACGTAAACTTGAAACTGTATTAAGTTTCTGATTACTCAGCACTGAGCCTTCTTGCGTTTCTCATCCCAGCGGCACAGCTGAGGCAAGCCGGAGAGTAGGGATTCAAACCTTTGATGGATTACATTCCAAGAGGAAAACATTTTTTTTTTAACACATGTGCTGTCCGTCAAGATTCTCTGTTTGTGTTCTGCTATTAAAATGGTTTTACATTATTTTTGGTCCTTCTTTACCATAGGATTCTTGTTTTACTTTACTCATCTAAAGACATCTTTAACATATCAATTAACAGATATTTGTAACTTTTTGTATACATTATTATTAATTCAATTTAAACTCCAACACATCATTAAGCACAGCTTTTCAACCAAATATTTAACTGCAGTAAAATAAAAAAAACAGATGAGAAAAAAGCCGCCTCCGATAAATCTAGTCTCCCATCCTCAGATATTTGAGTCGAGCTTATCGGATGCAGTTTTACTGACTGGTGATTGCTGGTTTTATATTCATATACTTCATTTTAAAGATTAAAATGCGGAAAATCCTTTCAAAAGTATTCTTGACTGCAATTCACTTCAGATGAATAAACTGAAAACCATTTTTATTAAATGTTTAATTTTACTTTAAAAATGTTTAGTAAAATACAACATGCTGGTTTCCAAAAAGCTTGTCTGGTTGTCAGACTACAAATCTGATATTTAGCAAGATGCTGCTTTTTATATTTCCTCCCTGTGGAGCCTCTATATGGATGTTTTGGTCTGGGTTGTAATTTGGGGAAAACATTACCACATTTTTTATATATATTTATTTTGGATTGTAATTTCTCCTCTGGTTCACAGAAGTACCTGTCCCAGCTGGCAGAGGACGGTCTGTCGGGCTTACTTTCTGAACCCTCCGCTACACAGTGACGTCTCACAGTGGAAGGATTTGTGTGTGTGTTGCAGAGGAAGTGGACAATTGCACTGGTTTTGATATTTTGGCAGAAGGAATGTCTAAATATGTTCGATGGCACTGACAATCCCAGCCCCACATGTGCTCTCAAATTTGTACATACCTGATGTGTAATGTAAAGTGAGGCTACAATATTTAATTTTATTGGATTTGGTTTATTCATTTCCTTACAGCTTACTTTATTGGATTGTGTGTGATAAAATGTTTTTATTTGTAATAATGGAAATGTTCAGTCCATTTTCTGAGTTTAAATGTTAGCTACGATTACACATTTACATCTGTAAAATGACTTAAAATATGTCGCAAGTCATATTTTATTCAGTTAAAAAACTACGACTGATTCTCAGGTTTGTTGTATTTGTTTAATAGATTGTAATGTATAGCTTAGAAAACAACATTACATTTTTATTTATATAAGAGTCTTGGTGCCAGTTTGCGCACAAATAGCGTAATGGTAAATAAGGTAATAAAATGTAAACCATTTGGATTGATAATGTTGCGAAATATTATATCATAATATATTTATTTTTGTGACGTTTTATTTTGAGTTGAAAATCATGAGACAATCCCAGTCATATTTGCCAAAATATGTAAATGCCTTTATATCGGAGACCTTAAACTGGACCATGTGTTTAATTAGAGTCAATCATGCAATGTTTACCGTGACTTGTTCAGAAAGGGATATCATGCCATACTCTGTTTTTGTATACTGTGAATACTGATCCTGTGACATCAATGATAGTGTTGTTTTGTTTGACAAACTTTTCATATGATTTTTAATGCGAAAAACGTGAATAAATTGTGTGGAATATAACATATTGTGTATTTATTTAGGCATAGTAGTATACTATCATCATAAGACAGGGAATCAGCCCAAGGCTAAGACTTGAGTGAAGGAGTTGTAAAAGAGTGCCTCCAAGTGGTGAGGCAGAACAACCATCGGTGTGCTTTAACTAAATGTGTGAGTCTTAAGATCTTTAAACTTAGTTTGAATATATTCTTGATTTTCTGGAAAGGTAACATCAACCCTGATAGTTTTCTTTTTTTTAATTGTCGTTGTCACTCCTTTAGTCTTTTTACTTAAAGTCATTTGAAATAGTAAACCAAACTACATTTCTCTAGCTTTGCTGTGGTTCAACCTCTTCCAGTGTTACTTAATTGGTAACTTCCTAAAAACTCATAATTCTCAATTTCTCATCAATATCATCCTCGCCATCATTATAAAACACTGAACTTTGCAGTCCCAAAAATAGTAAGAGCTGTTCTGCAGCACCAGATCTAGAGGGCAGCACTTTTTAAACAACACGGAAAATGCTTGAAGAAAATCCCGTGTTGCATTTCCATTGGTTGTATGTTTAAAAGCCCACACACCTCCAGCCAATCCGAAGAGGAAAACACAGCCCTCCGTGCCTGCGTTGCTGGGTAGATAACACAAAAACAAAAGGAAAGCTCTGTGTCAGAGTTTGAGGCTTGGAAGCAACAGACGGTCAGTGATTTGTATTTGTTCTGAGATATTCGATCGACAAATCAAAGGAGATTGAAATGCATATTTTATATGTCATGTTCATGAAGGATACAGGTATTTGTTATCGCTGTCGCAAGCTAAAGGACAGTTGACGTTAGTTAGATATTGTCTTTTACTGCCGATACAACAACAGCGTCGAGTCAGCGATATAAACGAACATTAAATAAAGTCTTAACTGCTGATTAGCATATAATGTTTGAGTGGTAATAGTTGTATTTGAGTAGTCAGATACTCGGGAGTCTTTTGACGCAGCTCTTTATCATGACAGGGAACATTGAAGCTAGCGCAACGCTAGCCATTGTTTGTCAACAGTGACTTTGAATGAACGGGGGAGGGGAGGCTGCTGCCTTGCAACATGTCTGGGCATGTTATTACTATTTTCTGCATATAACAATGATGTGTATTGTTATACGTTGCAGGTATCATTTGCACGTTATTCTTCTGCAAAATCTCTTTTCTATTGTAAAATATGACTGACTGCGAGGCCTGGCTCAACGCAAACCCCATTGGTGAGTGTGACGACGATTAAAATGCCTCATCCGCTATGTCTGAGATGGGGCAATGGGGCTTTTTCGTGCGGAAGTGGGTTTTAGTGCGTATTTTTCTTGCACTGCCTGCAGGTTTTGGCATAGATTGCATGTTGTCGCTCATCCTACATATTGTGAGTGTCAGCAGATAAAAGTTGACTACAATATATAAGTTTGAATATTAAGCGTCTTTTCCTGAGTATATTGTGTATGCACATGACCCCTAGGAATGTAAAACAAGAAAGAATCAAATGTATTTCAGCTTGAGATCCACTTTCTCATATGTTATTAACATTAACTTTACCCCATATTTTCCTTGAAATCCAACAGAGGCAGATGACCTGAGTGACTCTTTTTTATCTGGAGAAGAAGACAATGCAGGGTTGGTTGTCAACAAAAACATAAAAAATGAGATAAATGGCAACTGGTTGACCTCGTCGAGCAACAGCATCCACGAAGCACGTCTCAAGGCGAAGGCCAAGCGGAGATTGAGGAAGAACTCCTCCAGGGACTCAGGCCGGGGGGACTCTCTCAGCGATAATGGGGAAGTTGTCCGGGGAACCTCTGTGGCCCCCACCAGCCCCAAGAGCAAGCTGCTGGACAGGAAGTCCCGACTGGGCAAGGGCAGAGGCCTGCCAAAGAAAGGTATGTAGGAAATGGTGATGTGGTGCTGCTAAATAGATCAAATGTCTCAGTTTCTCTTTTTTTCAAAGAATAACCTTTTGCTGGTCATTTACACAGGATACTAAAAGTGAATAAAAGTGCCTTTGGTGTTGCAGTTCTACATGGGGGGGGCGGCATCATCATCACTGTGTGAACTTCTTGTTATCATCTGTTGGCATTCATCTATGAGCCATAAACTAATTAGCATGTACACAAATGGCTTGGTGGTTTTAAAAAGGTCACGCCGATTTAAAAGTACGTTTTTTTTTTACCGGCTGCTCTGCAATACTTAGTATAGAAGTAACATAGTAACCTTTGTTTTAGTGTAACAGAAGATTCCTGTTATTATTATTGGTATGTCATTGGATGTGTATAAAACCTTTTGGACTGCCATGATTGTGTACAGAGACAGCTGGCTTTTATTTGAACAGTTTATTATAAAGTGACATTTATAAGGTTGATGGCCCACTGTATGAGATTGCTAAGTGTCTTTGTGCACTGTCTAGTAATGGGGGACCCTACTGAAGTATTTACCTGATGTTGCATAATGACTTACTTTGTTTATCCAATGTATTCATCAAACTAAAGATGGCTGCTCTAAACTGCCTTACATTTGACCATATTCTAGAAGTAACATCACAATGTATAAGCAGAACAGAATTTAGTAAGTGCCAAGATCTTTTGATAGTCCAGCTGTCTCACACTGTGCGTCCTCACTCCGTGTTGAAAGCATGCAATGCCCACTTCTTTGTCTGCAGGACAGTTTAGTCTATTTGCTTTCTTCCTGATGGGCAGTGGAACTATAGCAAGTGTAGTTTCTCTTGGCATGATGTCTGTTGGTTCTTCTGGTTTCATAACAGAACTGGTACGCCAGTGGAATCCTGTTATTGCACCCCATGTGCAGAATTTGTTGGCGAAAGCAAACTGGCATCTGCCATGTCTTAGTGCACAAGTAGAGCCGATTTGCAAAACCAGTGTGGGCTGTGCTAAATATAGTGGCATTTCATATGCCACATTTTGAACGAATAGCGGTTTTAAAGCACACAAGCTTCTGGTACATCTTGAACTGTCTTCGATCTGTTTGTGCTGACCTAAGATTTAGCATGTTTCTTTGTGTAACACATAAAAAGGCATCACCTGCCTAGATGGAGGGATTATTTTACAGCATGGTTGGTCCTTGGGTTAACATTTTTTAGATATAGGTTTTAGTGCATGTACGCATACAGATGTGTCATGTCTAACATTATCACCGATCTCTGTCCACAGGAGGGGCCGGAGGGAAAGGTGTTTGGGGCCGATCTGGGGAAGTTTATGGACGGGAGGTGGTTGATCAGAGAGACCCCAACTACGACGAAGCTCAGGTACTGATGCAGGCGTTGATATTGTACATTTTCCTAATCAATGTCACGTTTGGAATAGTCTGATAACTTGTTAAATCCAATGTAATCCAATTCACAGTCCTGCAAAACAAAAAGAAAGAAATTGTGCGTTTTTATTTTATTGAGAATTTGTTGTTATGGGGTAATTTTTGAAGCCGCAGTTTGTGACGTTTCTTTGCTAACATGCATGATAGTGTACGCTTTCCAAATCTTTCTGTTTTTGTGGATAAAATAATCATTTAAATACTCAAAACTGAAGTAAATGTTAATGCATGATAACAATTGGCAGCATACTTGGCAGGTCATCCTTATTTCATATTTGAAACATTTAACTGGCAATGTATTTGTATTTGGTCAGGAAAACTGTGTGTATGAGACTGTGGTTCCCCCGCTGGAGGAGAAGGACTTCCAGAAGACGGTCACCCCTATAGTGCAAGAGTACTTTGAACATGGAGACACGAATGAAGTAGCGGTAAGTGTGCACAGAAACCACCTGTAGGTAAAATGTGCTCAAAGAGTGTACATAAACAGTCCTCTAAGAATAACAAGAATTGACATTAACACAACCTTGAAGCCCCCGCCTTGCTGACGTCCCTCTCCCCCTCCAGGAGATGCTTGCCGGACTGAATCTGGGTCCCATGCGGAGCGAGGTTCCTTCGCTGGCCGTGTCGCTGGCCCTGGAGGCCAAGGCCAGCCAGCGGGAGCTCACCTCCAAGCTGCTGGCCAACCTGTGTGGGCCGGTGCTGTCCCACAGCGACATGGAGAACTCCTTTGACAAACTGCTCCAACAGCTGCCTGATCTGGTGCTGGACACACCCGGAGCCCCGCAGGTGAGCCTTCTGAGGGGTTAAGAGATACGCGTTTGTACATATGTAGCTCAATAAGCCATTTATCAGAATCAGAATACCTTTATTAGTCCCACAGAGGGGACATTTGCATCGTTACAGCAGGAAAGAGCCACAGACAGCTTAATGTTACCTATGTTAAGAAAAAAGTACTAAGTTATGATATAATAAAACATATAATATAAAAGTAAAATAAAAATACTTTCCAAAATACAAATCCTGTAACAGTTCTTAGGATTTAGCAGCCAGGTATATATTACACAGTTATTAATGGCATATGTATATAATGTATATATTGCACATATAGCACATATTGCACATAGTATGATGGTATTTAACTGCAGCAAGTTACCCAATTTACAAGATACAAAATGCAAAAAAACACACCTTGTAACGGTTCTAGGGATTTAGCAGCCAGTTATAAATTACACAGTTATTAACGGCATATATATATTGCACATAATTGATTGGTATTTAGCAGCAAGGGGAGATATAGTCTGTGTTGTAAAAAAGTCACAGCTTTAAACA